AAATAAGGAATCATAAGTAACATTGCTAAAAAGGGACACAGCAATCACAGCAAAACATACTGAAAATTCTTGTGAAACTGGTATCAAATATGATTTACCCTGAGGTCCTTCAACTGGTTTCTAGAAATCTCTCTCCAGCAAAAAAGAAAATACAATACACTTTACTTGAGACACAAGAGAGCATAACACTCACATACAACTACAACACCGACTAATCAATATGCACTACTCACTTTGTTTCACCATTTTTGCTGTATTACAAAATCATTAAATATCATACAATCCACAACAACCACACGTGTGTTTGTTGCCTTCTCCACACACAATCGCGAAGACGTATGTGGAAATGCCAGTGAGAGGTTGATGGCTTGACGCTAATGAAGATACCGCCATCTATTGAGCACAAGTTGTACTACGAAATTAAATGTATAATAGAAAATAAAGATTTTTTTTTAAATTGAGGGTAAACTACTTTATTGTATAAAACAGGTAGATGAAAATATTTCTATGCATAGATTCTGAATAATTTCTGAATATCTTATGCTATTCGCCTCTCTCATTAGGTTAATTTCTTATGGGAAAGAGACCAATAACAAGATGTATCACAGTTGTAGTTATGAACTATATACAAGAATTCTACCTTTAAACTATTTAAAATAAACATCCATTTTCCTGTCCCTTCTGTATACCTTAATTTCGCTTAAATTTTCAAACCGTTTCCCAATTTCTAAGGCCAGTCCTTTACTGATATTTCGCATTTTCTATTATTCTATATTAATCTTAATGACAAAATCTTTTATTCTCATGATTTCACTCCATTTCACTTCGGCATCAATTGCTTCCAAATGTGAAAATTTCCCATTCGTTTTCTGATCTGCTAAAAGGACTTTTGTTAAGAGTATAGATTACACATATGTATATATATGCATATATATATATATATATATATATATATATATATATATAATATATAATATATATATACATATATATATATACATATACATTATATATATATACTATATATAGTAAATAAATATATATATATATGTGTATTATATATATATATATATATATATTATATATATATATATATATATGTGTGTGTGTGTGTGTGTGTATGTGTGTGGTGTGTGTGTGTGTGTGTGTGTGTGTGTGTGTGTGTGTGTGTGTGTGTGTGCATACATATATATGAATGTATATATGTACATACATGTACACACACACACACACACACACACACACACACACACACACACACACACACACACACACACACACACACACACACACACACACACACACACACACACACACACACACACACACACACACATATATATATATATATATATATATATATATATATATATATATATATATATATATGTATGTATGTATTACATGTCTGTTTACACACACACACACACACACACACACACACACATACATACATATATATATATATATATATATATATATATATATATATATATATATATTATATATATATATATATATGCTATGTGGACAACGAGGAATTCAACATCGGCTCCTATCACTGACTGCAGAGCCATCTAGTGATCATCGGGTCACTTATTTTCCATACGATCGCAAAGGTGCGGGTTACTTTTCTTCATTCGCCGAATAAAAACACTGAAGTCGAAGGATATCGTATATAAGAAGGGAGAGTAACTATAAGGATATTGTGATAAATGTATACTATGATATTTACACAGTGTAGAATGAATTTATAATTACAAAAGCGTTTACAAATAGCTAAAACATATGCATGTTTGCTTTCTCTTACATGCTTGGTGAAAAAACACTAAAATCTGATAAGTTCTACAATATCCCAAAATGATACTAATCACAAAAAATATGAATAATTCACGTTTCCAATTTATTCATTTCCTACAGATCCAAGAATGCACACAATAACATAGAGTAGAATGCGTCTACTACACACACACACACACACACACACACACACACACACACACACACACACACACACACACACACACACACACACACACACACACACACACACACACACACACACACACACACACACACACACACACACACACACACACACACACACACACACACACACACAGCATGAACTCATGTTGATTGGAATCAACAGATTAAAACATTTGAAAATGTTTAGGAACCAAGTGAAACAAAAGTTTAAACAGATGCACAGTTCAATGCTTTCCATGTCTTCTGTATTTTCTTTCCTTCATTTTGGTACATCCAAAAGTAGACTGACAAAAAATGTGTAACATGATGCAAGATATCCACAGCGTATTTATTTCTAAATAATAAGGAAAAAAATACGTGGAATATTCTGACGCAAGAGCAAAATATTTTTCATTTATATCAACAAACCTTGTTATTGACACTTTCTCAGATAGTAAGTAGCTTCCGTAGATAAAGGATGGTATGGCAAACTCAGATCATTTGCGTGGATGTTTTACATTCATCATTCAAAAACCATCTTCAGCATCTTCATGTCACAGTCATTTCTGTTCAGAAATGATCAGTGACCACACAACAAACCAATGATAACTGATTTAGAAGGAATGCACCTGCCTGTACCTATGAAATTTATCAACTTTCCCGTAGAGCCTAAAATCTCACACAGAAGATATGAATGAACCGCAAAATCCAGCTGATCTTAACATTGCGGTTGAAGCCCACGCCAGAAAGCTTTATTTTCATCTCATGATTGCGCCATCTACAAGAATAAATTCAAATGACATGTTAGACAGGTTTTTACTCTTTTTTCCCAAATAGGCTTATATGTAGCTTTCACTTAATGGCATCCGAGGTCTTGGGCCTTTTTCAGGTCTCTGCCCAACTATGAGAGAAAGAGGGGAGGCCGGTGGGAAGGAGAAGAGGGGCAGGTGAGGTGAAGGATTTTCGCCCCACTCAGCTGGCCTCATAGATGGATGTCCTTTCGTCGAATCGAAGCAAGTTTTTCTTCATTCTTTTAATAGCAAGTCTTTGATGATGCCAGGGCTGTTCTTAAACTTTCGAGGACGATGACGCGGTTTGCTTTGAAAATGCCATAATATAGTCAAATAAGAAACACGCAAGGAAATTGCTGAGAAAGGGGCAATGCACAAAATCATCTACTTAAAGACAGCATCTAAGTCGTTCCAGCACTGCTGTTTCCAGAAACAGAAAAGAAAATACTTTTATGCAAACTGAATGAGGAATATATAAGAAACGCGTTCCCAATGACGCATGCAGCTGGTTTCCTTAAAATATTTCCTAAGGTTATCAGTCTCTCTATATGGGCACACACACACACACACACACACACGCACAAACATGCACGCACGCACACACACACACACACACACACACACACACACACACACACACACACACACACACACACACACACACACACACACACACGATTTTATAATCTCGCACGATTATCCATCCTTGTCCCCTCTCAAGAAAAAACTGAAATGATGCCTTCACACACACACACACACACAGAGGGAGGGAGGAGGGAGGAGGGAGGGAGGGAGGGAGAGAGAGAGAGAGAGAGAGAGAGAGAGAGAGAGAGAGAGAGAGAGAGAGAGAGAGAGAGAGAGAGAGAGAGAGAGAGAGAGAGAAGAGAGAGAGAGCCTCCGATATGCGAAGCTGAGACTCACCCGGGCTATGTGGGGAGCCCGACATGTGCCGACTCGTGTATAATGCTGACACGACAGAGCTTAGTCCTTACCGACCGTGGACCACAGCCACAGCGGTAACCTCCAGGCGGCAGTTGCAACCTCTCGCGCCTGGGTGAGGTCATACAGATAGAGATATATAGATAGATAGATAGATAGAGAGAGAGGAGAGAGAGAGAGAGAGGAGAGAGAGAGAGAGAGAGAGAGAGAGAGAGAGAGAGAGAGAGAGAGAGAGAGAGAGAGAGAGAGAGAGAGAGAGAGAGAGAGAGAAGAGAGAGAGAGAGAGAGAGAGAGAGAGAGAGAGAGAGAGAGAGAGAGAGAGAGAGAGAGAGAGAGAGAGGAGAGAGAGAGAGGAGAGGGACAGGTAGAGAGGAGAGAGGTAGACACACACACACACACACACACACACACACACACACACACACACACACACACACACACAATTTTGCAGTTTGCTTCTGAAATAAGTGCAGTGAAAGTAGAGGTTCGTTCGTCTTACTGGTATTTTTATTTATTTTGTAAACTCGAAAAGGGAAACCGGTGAATTCATTAGACTGGTGTTATATCATTTTTTAATTTTTTATTTATATTCGCCCTAGCCTTTGCATTTTCTTTCCAATCAAACTAAGTAGTTCGACTACTTAATTTATGTTATGCTGTGAAGAAATCGAGAAATGTGTATGGAATTTGTAAAATTAGCAATCAAATTGGATTAAGGAAGTCGAATCTTGTCTCTGATGTGTAAAAATACATATGGCTCACTGTTAACGGTTTTGGAAAGATTACGCCACGTTTTACATATACCTGTTTTGACTCGATTTCAGAATCTGCATCTCCCGTTTGGTATGAACTACATAAAAATCAAGAATGTAAGACACACTCTCCTATAAGCAGCTAACGAAACAAGTCAGTCCTAGCTGAAAGCTAATAACAAATCCAGTAACCATGACATTATTGACGGAATACAATGTGACGTGGCATAGAAACTAAATGGAAACAACCATTTTGTATCTTATCAGTAAAATGAAAAAATATCCAGGGTTATGAAATTGTTTTAAAAACGAGATAGTAAGACCATGCGCTAAAAGTGTTACCAATGGCTGTAAACTTCTTTAATTGCCCCACCGTCAAGGTGTACCGGTAGTTACATGAATTTCTAAACGAGCGTCAAATTGGATACTACTTAGATATTGTGTCTGATGCCGGTTGTCAAGGCTTGGATATGATCTAGATATCCAGACATTGCACCACAACTACCGAAAACGTATTCACATTATAATGTTGCACCATTTGCCGCAACAGGAGAGAATAAAATGCGCCCGTAGCCCGTCTCCCGAGTCAGCTGTTCTCGCTGTAAACAAGAGGAGGAGGAACACAGTCATACCTCCTCTTTTTCTACATTATTTATCAACGTTGAAAGTTACAGGTAATATGGGTTTGAGTTTGTGACATATCTGAATATAGAGTAAAAACATCCTTGGCAATAATTCTGAATTCTTGACAGTGGTTTCGTTTTTTTGTGTTTAGAAGCCGAATATTCCCGATCATTATGAGTCTAGAGGCGATTTGCTGAGTAAACATTCTATTTCGAGTGACTGTGGGTATAGCTTGTAGTATTTACATATATGTATTAAGGGTTCGCTCAGAATGTTTCACAAAATTTGTCACAATACTAACAGTTATTCTTTTTCGAATATATAATTATTCCATGCGTCATACCTTCTTTCCAGATAATTCATATGTCAAATTTGGAATAGTTCACTAAAATTGCCTCCATGTACAATGAAGTGAATGGAGCAAATGTACCTATCATCTTATTTAGTGTTTTCATGTGACTCGTAATTAAACCCATTGTGTCTTACTATTGGTATTGGATTGCACATGGTGTGGAAAGTACTAATCAAAACACATATCATAAAACATGTCATGAGGAAAATTAACCAATGATTTGTAATCAATAAACTGTTTCCAGATGATAATACTAATCCCTGGTTACTTTCTAACTATTAATAAATATCATTGTAACACTCCTGAGGACTGAACTAAAATTAGACTTGTTTGTATTTGGTCTGATGGGATAAGTTACAAGTTGTGTTAATATTCATGTAAAGAAAGATTATATCCAGTACATATATTTGTTGGAAATATTGCATAACTGTCAGATTATAGTTTTTCTGCAACAATTTGTTTATGTTGTTAGTATGAAAAGTATATTAATGCTAGTTTATAATCAATATTATATATATTTTCTTTCTTTCTTTTCTTTCTTTCTTTCTTTCTTTCTTTCTTTCTTTCTTTCTTTCTTTCTTTCTTTCTTTCTTTCTTTCTTTCTTTCTTTCTTTCTTTCTTTCTTTCTCTCTCTCTCTCTCTCTCTCTCTCTCTCTCTCTCTCTCTCTCTCTCTCTCTCTCTCTCTCTCTCTCTCTCTCTCTCTCTCTCTCTCTCTCTCTCTCTCTCTCTCTTTCTCTCTCTTTCTTCTTTCTTTCTTTCTTTCTTTCTTCAGATTTGAAACAAGGTATGGAATGTACCTAACCATTACATGTTTGCTTCATTATTCATTTTTCTGTTACATTGTAAACCATTTAAGGGGTCACTAATAAGGATATAATCAATTTGAGGAAATAGACTGAAATCATATTATAAGGGGAATATAGTATCCTTAAGGCTTGTCTAGTTTGTAAGTGAAAAAGAAGAATGAGAAGAAAATTGTTGCTTAGTGAAATGTATCTGTGCTTCTGTCAGATTTCATGATCAGCCTTGTTTTTTTATAGCAAAATCTGTGTATCCTATTTATTGGGTTTACATAAACAATCAGAGAATATTATAGTATAAAAAAGTATTATTACTTGTCTCTCATGGTTTAACCATTATCCTACAGGAACTCAAGAGTATGTCTCTTGATGGAGAAGAGCAAGATGATGAACTGCTGGCCTTAGCAAGCATATATGAGGACTCCTTTGTATCAGCATTGGATCATGATGCAGAAGAAGACTTGGCTGTGAAAGATGAGGTCTTAAAGGGAGGAGAACTTGCGATACACTTAGATTTACCTCCGGAGTTCTCAATTCTTTCTAAAAGAGTGGGGGAAAATGGTAAGTCATATTCTGAAAGTTGTTTAATGTTATATTACAACAGTTATTATACTTCTTAAAATATTATTTGTGTATTTAGGCATATAGTTAGTGTTATTCACAAAAAGTTTTTTCACACTCATACAGTCAGTGATCTATATATACTGGACTATATTGAATTGCTTTATCATGAATCTGCTTTAAGTATGCCCCCAAAATATTAAACCTCCATATAATCCTAAGTATCCATATGTATATTCATTCCATAATGCATTGGTTGTTCTGTATGGTCAAAAGAATCCATATATGCATTCATAATTCACTGAATTTGTTGTCATGATTTGTTTTTTGATACTTTTGAGTTGCATATATAAGCATGTCTCCTATTGACTGTAAAAAACTAAATACCATATATCCACTTCAGATGCCATGCATTGCTATAGATTATGTCAGTGGATTTCTTAAGCTTTCAGTAAGTTTGGGAGTATGTTTTTTTTTAGAAAATGGCTTCTCAAGTTTGTTTGATTTTTAAATGCTTTCACTTGATGTATTGATTATTCTCAGCCAAGTTATCTCCAAGGTAGTTTTGATAGTAGTGTTTAAAAATGAAGTGAAACAACTGTTGTATATTTCTTCTGCATACTTTTCAGTATTTAATTTTGTAATCAAGGAGCATTGTTTTAGATGTCAAGGCAGATATGTGTGGGAAGGATGATAAAAGCTAGATTAATACTACACTTTTAGCTTTATGAAATAGTTTTAAAAGAAACCATTATAAGTTCTTGCACATTCCACAGATGAAGTGCTTGAACAGAGGCTTGTGGTGGAACATTTGCCTCCACTCTACCTTCACTTCACATATCCCTCCACATACCCCTCGGAGCATCCACCAAACTTCACACTCTCCTGCAAGTGGCTTAATCGTGCACAGGTAGAGTATATGCATTTTAGGTTTTGTTGATTTGCACTGCAACTGGTTTATGTAATTCACCAAAAAGCTTATACTGAAAGACCTTTTTGATAACTTGGTTTGAACCTGAGACCTAAAATTATTTTAAACTGAATTTATTGTATTCAGAAATTATTTCATATTTGTTTTACTTCCAGTTAACTCAGCTCTGCACCCAGTTGGATGCTCAATGGGAAGAGAACAAAGGAAGTGTTATCATGTTCACCTGGGCCCAGTTCCTGAAAGACAGCAGTCTCGAAAGCCTTGGTTTTACAGATGAATTAAATTTAGATATTATTAAGCCTGTTCAGAGCATGAACATTGGTGACGGGGCATTACAACAGGAGGTTCAGGGGGAAACTGGTGCTAATGGTGATGAAGGCAAAATCTGTGATAATTCCCATAGTGATAATAGTGGCAAAACTGAAGGAGCTGCAGTTGTAAGTGAAGCAGGACATGGTAGCCTGAGCCTTGATTCTCGAACTATTCAGGACATTGCTCCAAACACAAATATGCTCAGATTGCTGCGTGACTATGATGAAGACATGAGAAGGAAAGTCTTCAGTAATAAGAATTTTGAATGTAAAGTTTGCTTTATGGATAAGCTAGGGAGTCATTGTTTAGAGTTCTGGCCTTGCCATCATGTATATTGTAAAGACTGTATGGCATCATATTTTGAGGTGCAGATCAATGAGGGAAACATCAAGTTCCTCAGATGTCCTGAGGATGACTGTGAATCAGAAGCCAACCCAAAACAGGTAATTTTTTCCATTTTTTTCATCATTTTTTAAAGTTCTGATTTAGTTAGTTTTCATTTGATTTAATTCAATACATTTTTGGTGGGAATTCAGGGGAATATATTTTTATATTAACTTGGAAAGTAATAAGTATTTAAAATTTCCTCCTTTTTCACAGTACAGAATTTAATAGTCTCAATGTTTATGTTGTATGTGTCACTCTTGCTGGTTAGAGTTTGAAATGCAGTTAATAAATATATATGTGGATGAACTGAATTTATTGGATATGTGATTTATTATGATTAATATAGTCAAAGAATCTAAATGATCAAACAATTTTATAGGTTCAAGAGCTTGTCTCAGAAGATATGTACAAGAGATGGGATGAAATGTTGCTCAACACTACACTGTCTGCATTGGGTGATATCCAGCCTTGCCCAAGGATGCACTGCCAGTATCCTGTGACTATAGAAGAAGGCCAAGGGTCCTGTCCTTCATGCAAGTTTGTCTTCTGTGGTTTGTGCAGGTGAGGCAATTGCTATGATTTTAGGGGCATGTGTGCAGTTGTCTCTCCAGGAATACATTGCTATATTTAGGTAGGTCTTGTTCATATTGCAAGGGGAATAGAGAGATCAGATGTATTAATAAGCAGTAGATTTGTGGTTAGATTTCAAAATCTTCTAAAAGAAATTCTTGTAACTTGTATAGGTATTTGACTGAGGTAATGCAAATCCCACATTTTGTTTTAGTATTGTAATACTGAAAATCGTATTGTTATAAGAATGCATGTTCATATATAAAATATACATTTTTTGTCACAGATTTGGGTGGCATGGGATTGAGCCTTGTAAGCTGAAGAAGACTGAAGCAAGGCAAGCCTTAGATCTGTATGTAAGTGGAGATGCTGATGCCAAGCGTGAACTTGAAAGAAGATTTGGCAAGAAGTACATGGAATTGCTGATGAACGAGTACCTTTCCCTGAACTACTTGGAAGAGAATTCAAAGCAGTGCCCCAAATGCTGTGCCAAGATTGAGGTGAGTCTTTGTTGTTGTTATTTGAAAATTAAATTCAGTCTCCCATTTCTCCATTTTTTCTGTCATTGTAGGAATTGACTGTAGATACTGTTATTTCTGTTGTTGCTGAATGATATTGTTGCAGGGGTAAGTAATAAAGATCCAATTTTTCCTATGACAGAAAATCTCTGGTTGCAACAAGATGACTTGTCACCGTTGCAGAGTAGATTTCTGCTGGCTGTGTATGCTCTATTTAGACAAAGAACGTCCTTATGATCATTTCAACAAAGCGAATGGAGCTTGTTATGATAGGCTGTTTGAAGGTGTTGAGGATGAAGATGATGATTGGTAGTATGATTAAGGCCATTAAGAATCTAGAATACTGTGATTAAGATAAAAAAAAAAAGAATTATAAAAACTGTCTTTAACCCATTGGCACTGGCGCACATGCACTGTGCACAAGTAGTTTTCTTTTGTCAGTTTTGTATACACATAGATGTCTACAGAAGTGCTTAGTCACTAATATGTCAATT